TACGGGACAGACATGAACGACTGCTTCACTGTCCCCCAGAGCAATTGCTGCGCGACGTCCAACAGCGATTTTGGCCGATCGGTGGAAGGCGAGAAACTCGTAAAATCATCAGGAAATGCATCAAGTGCTATCACTTTAATCCAATTCCGGCGGAGGTCAAGATGGGTGATCTTCCCGTGGAAAGAGTTCGTAGTTGTAATCGTTCATTTACCACAACGGATTTGGACTACACGGATCCAATCCAAGTTCGGGAAAGCCGACGACGAGGAAGGATCCACATAAGTAAAAGATACATCGCAATATTTGTATGCACTAGTACTAAAACAGTGCATTTAGAGATCGTAACCGATCTTACAATCGACTCATTCCTAACAGCTTTGCGCCGATTTATCGCTCGAAGAGGATTATATGCTCAAATATTCTCTGACAACGGAACGAATTTCGTTGGCGCTGCTAGACATCGCAAGGAATTGTACGAGTTCATGAACAAGGAACAAGAAATGATTAAATCGGAATTGACGGATCAACGCATAGAGTGGCACTTCATTCCGCCCCGGGCGCCTAACTTTGGTGGGCTATGGGAGGCGGCGGTGAAGAGCACAAAAAGACATTTGTTCACCGTAACAGAAGGACGTATCCATACATACGAAGAGTACAGTACGATTCTCTCCCAAATAGAAGCTGTGCAATGTTGATTTTGTTTTTCTCCATTTCCGCAATTTTATGCCAATAATCGCTAATTAAGATTGGAATCCATGTTCAAGAGATTTCATAAACGGAAAACGAGATCTTCAAATATATACTTTACAGCTTAATAAAGATTTAAAAAATAAAAAATTTAGTTTAGTTTCTTTTAAGGACTAATTATTATACATGTGATAAAAGCAGGATTGGGTAAGTTGATATTTTTTAAACTAAATACAATACCTATAAGTAATATATGCAATAATAATAATAATAATAATTAATACAAATATTTGTATATATATAATATATTTATTTATTTACTTTTAAATAACATACACTTGAAGTTAATATAATTAACTTAAATAAAATTAATTAAGTTAAGTTAAAAGTTATTAACTATTTAATTTTATTATTTAACTTTTAACTTCTTAACTATATAATTAACTACCTAACCCTGAATAAAAGTAATAAATAATCTTCTCTACCTGCACGATTTTCAGTAGGCAACGAAAATTATAATAGATA